GTCTCCCATCCCACCTTTCTGCAGTCTGACTCCACTCAACCACTTTGAACTGTTTTTGTTTCTGGTTCTGCTCAAAGTCATGCCAACTGTACTTTATTATATTTGGACTCTGGCTTTCTTGTACACTTTTTTTTCTTCTGGAGTTAATAATTTTCTATTCTAATTTGGACCAATTACTTCCTTGGACACGCAATTCAGTTGCCATGCTCACATTTCTTTTTATTGGAATCAGATTAATTTTACTATTTCTTGGACTCCACATCTTACATGCTCTTTGATTTCACCTTCATGCTGCTAAAACAGATCTACAGGTAACTTAACCAGAAAATGTGTGAAGTAAGTTTTCTGGTTTCTTAGGTTTCCAAAACTACCGTTGTTTTGCTCTCAAACTTGATAGTTTGGATATAGGATTCTAGATTCAAAATAATTTTCCATCAGAGCTTTGAAGACATTGTTCCATTGTCTTTTAGCATGAAGTATGGCTGAGAAGTCTAATGCTATTTTAATTCCCTCTGCTCTCCCAGGGTTTCCCCTCTGAAACCACTTAGAATCTTTATTTTATGCTCAGTGTTTTGAAATTTAATAATTTAGTCTATCTGAGGATCTTTTTAGGTTAAGTGGTACAGTGGTTAAGAATGCAAGTGAATTGTATTGCCTGGGCTAAAATCCTAGTTCTGCCACTTACTATGTGACCTTGGGCAAAATAACCTCACTTAATATTACCGTGTGCGTCAGAGGGTTGTTGTGAAAACTGAGATAACTGATCCAAGTGCTTAGCAGATAATAAGCACTCAGTGGATGTTAGTGATGATTTTTTTAATATATATTTTTATTGACTTCAGAGAGAGGGAGGGTGAGAGATAGAAACACCAATGATGAGAGTAGGGCTGCCTCCTGCACGCCCCAACTGGGGATCAAGCGTCCAACCCAGGCATGTGCCTTGACCCGGAATCGAACCGTGATCCTAGGTCGATGGTCAGCTCCTGAGCCACGCCGGCCGGGCAATGGTGATTTAAGCTTGCTCAGCCTCCAGTGAGCACTTCTAATTTGAAGATTCATTTCTTTACTCCTAAGGCATTATCCTCTCATTCTTTGATAATGTCCTTCTGTTTGCTTTTCCTCTCTGAAATGAAAATAAGCTGGCTATCAGATTTCCCATATTGATTTATTTCTTCTATTTTCTCTCTTTTTGATGTCCTGGGAAATTTCTTCAACGTTATACCCCAAGTTTCTGCTGCTTGAATTAGAAAAGCCGTTTTAAATCTCTTAAGAGCTCTTTCTTATTCATTGATTGTTCCTCTTTCATAGTCTGCTTCGTATATGCAGTATCTTTTCTTTCCAATTATTTTGAAAACTTAAAACATGTAGAAAGTTTGAATCATACAGTGAACACCTATATATACTTTCCACCTAGATTCAACAATTTAAAAAAATTTGTCACATTTGCTTTCTCTGTATCTATAGATATGCCTATGCATATATATATATCCCACCTACACAAATATGCTTTTTTTCCTGGACCATTTGAATGTAATTTGTAGATGTCATGACTCTGATCCTAAGTACTTAAAACGTGACTCCTAGGAATAAAGACATTCTCCTACACAATTACAATGATATTATTACAACTATGAAAATTAACAAAATCCCGTATCATCTAATAGAGTCCACAGATTTATCTGTTGTCTCAAATGAGTGCAAAATCTAAAATGTAAAGCGTCATACCCTTTCACTCAGTGATTCCATCTCTTTCTTGCATACACACTCCCACATGGGGTCTATACAAGAATATTCAGCACTACTTGTAAGAGCAGAAGACAGGAAACAACCTGCATGTCCATTAATAAAGGATTGGTTTGAACACAGTGAAATCAAACTGGAATATCACACTATGGAATATTAGAATGAAGGTGTTTAGGACTGAAGTGTTCTAATATGTAGTAATAACAATATGAGTGCCCAGCTGGTGTGGCTCAGTGGTTGAGCATCGTCCCATGAACCAGGAGGTCACAGTTTGATCCTGTCAGGACACATGCCCAGGTTGCAGGCTCGATCCCCAGCAGGGGTGTGCAGGAGGCAGCCGATCAATGACTCTCATCATTGATGTTTCTATCTCTCCCTCTCTCTTTCTCTCTCTGAAATCAATAATAATAAAAAATAATATGAGTAAAATTTAACTGGAAGATTCTGAGTACTGAATATAGTATATCATCATTTGGATGTTTGCAGACTGATAACTCTGAGGGGGAAAAAAGAAACTGGTAAAAGAATTGCGTCTGGAGAAGTGAATTGGGTGACTGGAAGGAAAGGCAGTTTACTTCTCATCAAAAGCTCCTACTCATTTTGAATTTTGTACTATGTCCATATTATATAATAAAAAGTGCTTAAAGTGGAAGAATATTCAATCCCATGTAGCAGTGGCTCTCAGGGGTGATTTTGCCTGCCAGAGGACAGATGGCAATGCAAGAGAGATGTTTGGTTGTTACAACTGGAGCTGGGGGTAGTGCTACTGGCATGTAGTGGGTAGAAGCCAGGGATGCTGTTAACCAGCTCACAGTACACAGGTCAGCCCCACACAACAAAGAATGATCTGACCCAAAATGTCAGTATTGCTGAGGTTAAAAAACCCTGCTGTAGAGCAATTCTGGATGAAAACGTTTGAGAAGAGCTAAGCAAGACTAAAGAAATAAAGCCATGTGCACAGGCCTAAGCATTCAACTCATTGTGCCTTTGAGATAATTCACATTTCTAGCTGTGGAAGATGGTTGGAGAAGTCCAGTATGCTCCTGTCTGCATAGAGTTTATTTCAAATTGGTATAATATCAAGCTTCCATAACCTTGGTTCATGTTAATAATTTAAACTGTTGTAAACATAGTATCTTGACTGTAAGAATGAGGTCAGACTAAAGTTTGTGATTCTACGGCTTTAATCTATAGGTATACTGTTGACCTTTGAACACAGGATTGAACTGCGTAGGTCCACTTATACACAGATTTAAAATTTCTGCATCTAAGTGGACATGCACAGTTCAAAGGCCAACTGTATTTTTAATCCACAGTTGGGAATTTGCATATACAGAGGACTGACTTAGGTTACATGTGGATTTTATTATGTGTGGGTGGTTGGCACCCCTAACCCCTGCATCGTTCAAGGGTCTACTGTATTTGCACATCTGTGCATAGCACATATACAAGAACATGCACTGCAGCATTGTTTGTAATGGAAAATATTGGAACAACCTAAATAATAAGGGACTGGTAGAGTAACTTATGGTATATCCATACAGTGGAATACCATGCAGCCATTAAACAAGATAGCTCCGATGATCTTCAAAAGTTTAAAAAGAGAATAATATATGTGGGAGGTTACCATATGTATATTATATATAAAAAATATATACATATATGCTCACTTATGCATATATCTCTGAAAGATATGCAAGATATAAGAAACAGCAGTTGTATGCCCTTTTGCCTTTTTGTACTATGTGCATACTAATTATATAGACAGTTTTCCCCAAGTGAGTAAAATACACTGTATAATTCCACTGCAACACATAATACAAGAATGAAATGTATATTACAGTAAAGATGTAAACCAATATGGTTTCTACATAAAAGTATGTTGAAAGGTTATTTAGATTGTACTGATTATTTTTTAAACCTCAGAGCTCATCTTTAGGTGTCAATTGTGAATTTTCAATAATAAGTTCAAAATTTAGCTAATTTAGATGGAAAACAATTTGCTTTCATATAGTTTCGGGAAGGATTTTACCCGAACGAGTTTATTCCATCTGTAACAAATTAAGTGTATGTACCTCTCTCTGTCAGAAATCGACAACTTCTATCTATATAGAAGCTTCTGAGAACTACAACACTTTATTCTGAGGGGATGGCTTAGTGCCCTTGCTGAGCTGCTAGCCACAGCTATTGTGTGTCCAAAGAGTACCAGTTACTTTGCTTATCCTATGTTTGAGAGGTATTAATGATGGAAAGCTGATCTAAGGACAAGACAAGTACCTATCTGAGTTGGGATTTTGCCTTAAGCATTGAACAAATTGGATTTTAAAAGTTCAAGTTACATTCCATTTTTGAGGTTATATATATATAATAAAACCTTACTTACTGGCACACATAAACACCAAGCTCTTTTATGATTCTGTGTGAAGCAGTTTATACTCTACTTCAATGAAAATAAAGTAACACTATACTAATCAATTTATCATTACTTTTTTTCTTGTTGGACTTCTAACATCTTGGTAACCTTATAGCAAATCACAACAGGTACACACCTCATTTTACACAAGATTTCAATAATGGTGTAAATTGGGTTTTGTTTGTTGTTAATCTTCACCCCAGGATCTTTTTACCATTGAGTTTTAGAGAGGGAAGGGAGGGAGGGAAGGGTAGAAGTAGTTAGGGGGAGAGGGGAGAGAGGGAGGAAGGGAGGGAGAGAGAGAGGGAGGGAGGGAGAGAGGGAGGGAGGGGGGAGANGGAGGGAGGGGGGAGAGGGACACACCAATTGGTTGCCTCCTGCACCTGCCCCGATGGGGTCCGGGGATCGAACCTGCAACCTTTCAGTCCAAGGCTCTAACTACTGCACCACAGCCAGGTGTAAACTGGATTTTTAGAAACGGATTTTTATCTTATTATCTTACATTACTATTATTTATAAAATGTTTATGCTAGGACTTCTAAATTATCTTCAAATATTTGATGCCAAATTTAGATTTTAGGCTGTATCTAGTCTCTTCTCTTTTTTACCCACCCTACCCCCAACAAGTGGTTAACAGGAGTTTGCTTAAAACAAAACAAATCTATACCAGGAACATTTCTACTTAGAAAAAGATTATTAGGAAGACCTCAAAGAAATGTGTTTTAAAGGTGCTAGATGTAAAATTTTGGAAGCAAAGTGTAGAAAGAATAATAAAAGCTTAAAACCTAAAATTTTTAACAAGACTGAAAAGTTTAACCATAAATGTTTAAGAATCATATCACACTTTAACAATCACAACTAAGCATTTATTATACTGTTTAAGAAGGGAAGCAATCGCAGTAGTATTTCAGAAGCTGTATCTTTTTTTAAAATGTAATATATGCTCATAGACTCTAAATAGTATTTTAAAATATACAATCTCTCCAAAAGAAAATATTCAACTAAAGATAGATAACTTTTAATGTAAGTAAAATGTTACAAGATTTTAAAATTAACTATCATATATTTCACAACACAATGTACAGAAATTTGCAAACTTCCTGTGCAGAGCAGTATAATCTTTACTCTTGAGCAAGGCGTTCAATAACACGTCGGTAATCTTCCACAAGTTCCTGAAAGCTTTCTTCCAGCTGTTCATGTTGCATGCTTATTTCTATTTGGTTCATCTGGTTTGTCAGTTCTTCTGGTCTGAGACACTTTCTCATTTTAGCAAGATCTCTCTGCTTTTTCTGAGCAACAAACACAATTATTGGTTAGACTAAGAAAGCTGATATGTTCTTTTATATTCTTAGAATTTTAAGTCTCCAATATTAAAAATAAGAGTGGTAGGAATATGCCCAAATTTGTCCTATACAGTTTTCTTTTTAATGAAGCCTAAACATAAAGTTAACCACACATTACAATCCCTCTAAAAGGAGTTAACCAGAAGACCTGGAATTTGTGTTAATTGATGGTAAATACAGGTATGTGACTAACAGCCCTCTTGCCAAAGCATAAAAAATAACTGTGTAGACATCCAAATATTTCTTTAATAAATAAAATACATTAACCTAAGACAACTGAGATTAAGCACTATTATTCTTAATTTCACTATTCAATCATTAATTAATTAATTTTAATTCCAAGATGGTTTCTTCCTGACACTATGCTCATTTCTAAATTCCCTTACCCAGTGATATAGTTATGGACCACATATCAATTTTTAACATAAATTGTTGGAAGAGTTTCAGAAAGATAAACCAAAACCTGTGACACTTTAAGCACTTATTGAGTCTGTACTATTCAGACATACATTATCTTATCAAACCCTCCCTGTTTTACTGAGAAGGAAACCACCACGCTGAGGAGTTTGCAGTAGGGATTTGGTAATGACTTCTAAGCAGGAAGCCATGTCAGAACAATGCTGTATCAGTAATGCTGAGGATGGGACTAGAGGACCAAGTTAGCAGCTACTGAAAGAATTCAAGCGACAGATGTTAAAATCCTAGACCAAGTCAGTATAACAGCAGAGATGGAGGGGACAGGGCAGATTTAGGGAAGAAAACATTGGGTGATGTTGGG